TCAAATTCTATTTCTTGCTCATGTCCATGGTAATCGCCTTCACATACGTCAAGGTGGCTGCAGCTGCCCGGTCTGCCTCTGGTGAAAACAGGAAGTCGAGCACCAAAGGCACGAGGACAGTGGCTCTCCATGCCATCCAGCTCTTCCTTTGCCTCATACAGCTACTTACGCCTTTCGTGGACATGGCTCTGATAAAGATCAGCGTGGTGATCTACATCTATATCCGTTTTGTGAATTTCATAATGTTTGTGATAACGCCGCGTTGCCTGAGCTCATTGATCTATGGTTTGAGGGACCAGAACTTCTTCCAGGCGTTGAAACACTATGCTGTTTGTGGACTGGATAAGAAGGCTCAACCAGATGCTTCTCATTTCAGGAAGGTGGAACTGAGGCATTAATATTAAGGAGGCCCCTGGGAGATACTAGATCAGACTGGATAAGACTGCACATATTAGTGCCTATTATTATTATTATTATTATTATTATTGTTATTATTACTGCCCCTTCATTATGCAAAGTTAAAGTTAAACTGCCCATTCCTCATTTTGAATATTGTAATGATGTTAATGTGTTAAATGCTAACAACTAAATTGTGCTTTTTTGTTGGTCTCTGCATGTGGTTTAATTTTAAAATCACACTCATCTTCATGCTTCATATAATATATATTTTGAAAGAGTAAGCTAAGATTTTCTCAGCCCATCCATCTTTCTACTGCTTTTCCAGTCCAGGATCACAGGGAATTTTCACTCCATAAACTTAACAGAGCTGTATAGATGACCTGTGACCTGATAATAATACTGCCTTTTACCTTCCCAGCAGATGATTTGAATGACCAAAACGCATCAGCTAATATAAGCTGCAGTTTGTTTACAGTTCAGTGAATCTGTACTGTTACCTGTATAACTCATATCTGCAGGTATTGTACAAGTGGAACATCTTAATGATGTATAAGCTCCTCAAGACCATGTTTGTAGTGTTCCTATAGTGTTCTCACTTTCTATAAATAAACTGATTGTGCGGAGCCGTAAGTGGATCATCACCACCTTCCTTTCCTGCCTGTACCATGCCCCTGAGCTAATAACAGAAGCCCCCCAGTCCTTAACACCTACAGCTTGTTTACAGTTCAGTGAACCTGTACTGTTACCTGAATAACTCATATCTGCAGGTATCATACAAGCAGGACATCTCACTGTAGTATAAGCTCCTCCAGCCCATGCAGCACATGGTGATTTCCATACCCTAATATTCAGTTATGCAAAAGACCAAAATATCTTTATTTGTTAGCTGCAATTCACCAGTGCTTCCCACAGATATAACCTGCAAGCTCTGAGGTACAGATCCATATATTAGCTGCTGTGCTCCCTGCAGCTGAGTCACACACAGCCATTTTTATAAAATAAGAGAGGCACAGATATAAGTCAAAGCATGTTAACAGGTGTTGGCGACTGTATTCACAGTTATTACTTCTTCATCACTGCACGTGCAGGCAACAGAGTGTATGTGGTGTTTTCACTAGGTCACATTAAGGCTGCAATCAGGCCTGTTGTTCAGAATGCCTCTGCACTGACTAGGCCCAGGCTGAGAGCTGGGGGACCCGCACTGTCACAAGGCAGCTCATCTCCACAGGGAAGCCCTGTTTGCACAGCAGCAGAACAAACAGGCCGTCCATCAGAGGCCTATAATCATCACACACTCAACAAGTCAGCAGGGAAAATCTGTTGTTCCACAAGCAGGAGACTGGAGTTGTGCCTAGGCCTGAAATCTCATAAAATGTTGTCTTCCTGTAGTACTATAAGCCTAGCAAATATTTATATTGATTACAACATTTAACGATCATAATATTAATTTTCTGTGGCCTGGGATGGTTATGTATAAGTGGTTATGGGACATAAATACATGTACTACCAAAGTAAAAAGCCCGTCATCATAAGTGACACTGAACCATCAAGAGCCATAAGTACCAGTGTGTGAAACACTGTTGGAGGGATGTGACATCATTCTTCCATCATGTGGTGTTATGGTAAAAACGATGAAAAAACATTACCTGAGGTAGTGTTGCTGTGTCCTTCATTTATCCAATTGCAATAAAGTGACTCTGATAGTCATGGCAGGGGGTTTACATTGTGCTTATCGAACCAGTTAAGTCACGGTTGTGCCCTGTGGCTGGGGGCATTGCCATCTGAGAGATTCCACACTTCACTGTGGGAAAGATGATCACTCAGAATGGCCTTGTAGCTATTGGCATTCGCTTTGCCCTAAAAGTGGCTGACTGGGCCTAAACCAGTGGTCCCCAAACTTTCTCTGCAGGGCCCCCTTTTCTAGATAGGAACATTATTGAGCCCCCCCACCCCCCCATTCAAACTACACAGGTTCAGATTCAAACTTTATTTTAAATACAACTCCCTCTTCTAATTGAGCTAAACAAATGCAATTACAGAATACAAATGGTGCAATTTCACCACTGTGGGAGAAAAAAGAGCAATCAATTACAAATAAAAGTCCAACATAAGTTTGAAATTATGCTAATGCAGATTTAACATTCCCGTTAATATTTATTGGCGTACACAAATTAAAGTTTGTCTTACGATTACCGCATTTTGTTTTTAATGATAACCGCAGGTTTCAGCCTAAACTATGGCACAAAACAACACTAAATCATACCCATTAATTGATAGTCTCCCTGCACTTCATGTAGAAAATTTTTAAACCTCGTTTTTCATGATATGGTTAGATTTTTTGACCGGCGCGGCAAAACGTCGTCACGCGTCACCATGTTACATGGTACAAAAACCTTGCAAGAGCAAGACGACTTAAGACAGATTGTACCGTACCTCTCAGCCGGCTGAACAAACTAGAACAGCCTCCGTGACGACACAACTTTGCCCTTATTGGCTGAAGAACGTGACGTTTGTATCCGAGGAAGTTCCGATGCGTTATCTGCTATTTCTCCCGAATATCACGTAAAGCATTGAGAACTGGTTTTCAGTTAATTTACCTGGTAAAATAAAGTTTAAATAAATTACATAAATGCTCTAATAGTACACGTAAGTTAGTGGTTTATTTATTGTTAGTTACTGTAATGTTGCGCTGCTTTCTTTGTTTAATCGTCCATTCTGTGAAGAGATTATTTGAAGGTGGCACATGCCCCTCAGGCTATCCCATTGGTGCGCCCACCCCGCAATACCTCTGCGCCCCCCTAGGGGGGCATGCCCCCCAGTTTGAGAACCACTGGCCTAAACGATACCAGGAAAATGTATCTCACACCATATACGACCCAGAACCAGTCTCTGACATGGCTCTATGTATGGGATTTGCATGTTCTCCCCATGTCATTTGCTATTGGCTTGTCCCTCACAGCCTAAATATATCTTAACGTGAGTTGGGGTTACCAAATTACACATAGGTTTGAATGATCTGTGAATGTGCCCTGTAATGGGTTGGTGCACCATCTTGGGTTGTTCCCTCCTATGGGCCTCAAGGCTCCTGACCCCCTGTGACCCCAGACAGGATAAATGGACAGAAAATAGATGGATCTATAGTCATATAAATTATGGGCAGCAGAGCCAGTCCAGGACTTCTATACATAACTCAGGAGCCATAACTTCATGAAAGTTCTTATTTTCAGGTAACTCATGTGTTTCCTTTAGGGTAATCTGTGTAGTTCTATTGTCTGTTAGACACCTATAGCTCCCATAATCTTCACCAGATTTATACACCTTCTTTCACTCACTATTAAGTCTTTTCTCTGCAAATCACCTGAATTCACCAAACCATGACGCTTCACCTCAGCATTGTTTACCAATTCATGCTGCCCATGACTGACAGTACACAATAATCCCAACAAATGTGAGTTACAAAGCATGATGATGAAATTTGGGGGCAAAGGCCTATTGGAGAACCGTGCCCTATGGTGTTGGTTGAACAAAATGCTTGAGAACAAAATGCAGATGTTTAATCACTAGATGGCACTGTTTTCAGGCTACTGATATACACTCATCTCAACAGAGTCCATTTTTTATTTTTGATTTTCAGTGACATCATTGGTGTGCTTTTATTCCCAGGTTACACCTAAGAAGTAAGGATCCCTTGTCATTAATGTCTGTGTATAAAGGTTTGACCAGCATAACTTTTTCTTACCAGTATTGTTCATTGAGGACCCTTCAAAGCATATAACAGGTAATGTCATGTTCGTGTTTCAGGAGAGGGAGATTTTATGTGACTGATTACCTAAAATCAAAATGCTGACTAATACTTTTATGATCTTACAATGTTCTTTCCTCATGTAGAATATCATGATATTAGCCAATTAGACTGTCTGATAATTGTGTATACTTTATTCATAACAGATTACCACTTATATAACAGCCAGATTGATATTCGGATAATATCACTTTTTCAGTTGTAGGAGGCTTTGACATACTTATGACCTTCAACATAATGTAAAAAATTGTGAAATTTGTAACATGGAATGTTTTGATGCTTAAATTAATTAAAAAAGCAGGCATATCCAAAAGAATGACTCTGATATTCTGCCAGGGAAAAGCAGGGAATAGTGCTGAAATTCTTGGAATCACGACTCTTCAAACGTGAAGGTTTGGGAGGTTGTGTGAATCATAGTTCAATGTAACAGCTAAATAGAAAGGCAGAGACTCATAGGGACACAGCTCATAAGGGACGTAATGAGGATGACTTCAGGTAGCACATGGAGCATGAAGGTACACTGTGCCCATTTTCTGTTCCTCAGAGTGTCTCGTGGATGTCAGTATAGCAGACAATGATTTTCCAAGGCTTTTGGGAATCATTTCAGTACCAATGCATATGACATTCGTAATATAAGCAGGAAAATGGTCCTGTTATTCAGCATGTTCAATAGATTTCATGGGGTCTATCAATCTTTTAGCCTAGTGATAAAACAGTGCTTACCAAAAATAATAAAGGAAAACCGTCTGCACATTTTCTCCTTCTCTTTGTTCCCAGGAAACTGAAGATGGCAGACAATATGACAGGAATCACTAATGGCAGCAAATCGTCAGATTCTGTCTCTCCCAAGCGTTTCATGGCCGATGTGATCATCATTCAGGTGCTGGTGGGCATCTTCTTATACATCAACGGCCTCATGATCTTCACTTTCTTCATGAAGGAGGCCTTTCGCACCGATACTCGCTATATCCTTTTTGCCCACATGCTCTTTGTGGATTCCTCTGTGATGGTGGCGACAAACCTGGCTGTGCTGTTTATGCACTATGCTGTGGTAATCCCCTTTGAGGCCTGTATAGTGCTCAACCTGATCATGATCTGGTTGGAATTCTGCACACCTCTGACCTTGGTGGCCATGTGCCTGGAGCGCTATGTGGCTGTGTGTAAGCCCCTGAGGCATGCTGCCATCTCCACGCCGAGGATTAGAGTGGTAGGCCTGCTCCTCATTTGGGGGCTGGGCTGTGTACCTGCCCTCGTCATCCTCCTTTCCTGCGCAGCCTTGGTCTCAGTTAAGCAGCTCACCGTGAGAGTCTTGTGCTCCTTGAATGCGCTGATTGTAATTGAGTGGCAGAGGTACCTCCAAATTGCTGTATTCAAGTTCTATTTCTTGCTTATGTCCATGGTCATTGCCTTCACATACGTCAAGGTGGCTGCAGCTGCTCGGTCTGCCTCTGGTGAAGACAGCAAGTCGAGTGCCAAAGGCACAAGGACAGTGGCTCTCCATGCCATCCAGCTACTCCTTTGCCTCATACAGCTACTTACACCTTGGTTGGAGATGGCTGTGTTACAGATCAGTGTGGTGATCTACGCCAAAATCCGCATTGTCAATTTTGTTGTCTTCATGATAGCTCCACGGTGCCTGAGCCCATTGATCTATGGTTTGAGGGACCAGAATTTCTTCCAGGCATTGAAACACTTTGCTATTTTTGGCCTGAATAAGAAGATTCAACCAGGTGCCTCTCGTTTAGTTCCAAAGACTTGGCACTGAGGCATTAGTTTCACTCTGTGGCGCCTTGACATTATGCTTGTTAATCAGTACTGTCTTACAAATTTTACCCTCTAGTCAGTTCATGTATATAGAGTCATGCCAGTCTGTCATTATATCTGCACCTTTCATACCAAGTAAAATTCTGTGTGCATGTTTGTACTTGCTGAAAAACCAATCATAGTATAATCAGCTAAGATTCTATCTGCCAAACGATCTTTTAACCACTTATCCAGTCGGGGTCCCAGGGAAGTTTCAGTACATAAATTAAACAAATCTGTAGACACAAACCCATGACATGACAGTAATACCTTCCCAGCAGATCCAGGGTGACTCAGACAGCTGATGATTTTAATGACCAAAGCGTGTCAGCTAATTTAACCTGCAGTTTGTTTACAGTTCGGTGAATTTGTATTGTTACCTGTATAACTCATATCTGCAGGTATCATGCAAGCGGAACATCCCACTGTAGTATAAGCTCCTTAAGGCCATGCACCACATAGTAAATTCTACTGAAATTCAACAGTGCTTTCCAGAAATATAACCTGCAAGTTTTGAGGTACTGATCCATATATTAGCTGCTGTGCGCCCCTGTAGCTGAGTCAAGCACAGCCATTTTTATAAAATAAGAGAGGCACAGATATAAGTCAAAGCATGTTAACAGGTGTTCGGCCACTGCATTCACAGTTAGTATTGCAAGTGTAAGTACTGGAGTGCATGTGATGTTTCCATTAGGCCAGAATAAGGCTGCAATCAGGCCTGTTTTCAGAAGGCCTCAGCACTGACTAGGCCCAGACTGAGAGCTGTGGAGTCCTGCACTGTCACAAGGCAGCTCATCTCCACAGGGAAGCCCTGTTTGCTCAGCAGCAGAACAAACTAGCTGTCCATCAGAGGCCTGACATTAATAATTGATGAGCGTTAATGGCAGCACAGGGGAAAGGTGTGGAAGCAGGACCAGCTAAGGCACCCAGATGATGGAGGTCCTTCCCCAGAGCAGGGAGCACATTCAGCCTCTATAATCATCACACACTCGACAGCTCAGCAGGGAAAATCTGTTGTTCCACTAACTAGATACTGGAGTTAGTGCCTAGGCCTGAAATCTCGTAAATTTGTCTCTTCCTGTAGTACCATAATCCTAACTATTATTTATATTGCCAATAACATTTAACTACAACGATTATGTATGACCTAAGATTAGTGGTAATGGATAAGTGGTTACGGGAGATGAGCAAATGTACCACCAAAGTAAAAGGTTCACCTTACATCTAATAGTGAACAACATGCATTTTTGTCGACAGTTGCTCATGAAACCATCTCCTCAGACATCATTAGCCCCTTAGCCTCTGTTTCTCAGGAAACATCAGAAGTGAGCTCCTGCTAAAGGTTCTCGAACAACAACCCCATTCTCAAAAGCACCGGAATCTCACCTGTCAGTGCTGGGTTTAATAATTATGGACAGCAGGGCCAGTCCAGGACTTCAATATATAACTCAGGAGCCACACCTTCATGGAAGCTCTTATTGTCAGTCAGCTCTTGTTTTTCCTTTTGGGTTACCTTTGTAGTTCAGTTATCTGTTACAACACAAAGCTCCAGTAAACTTTATGAGATTTAAACACTTTCTTCCAATCTTATTAATTAAGTCACTTCTGTGCAAATTACCATTATTTAATAATCTCCTCCTCACCTCATTGTCTACCAAATCATGTAGCCCATGACTGACAGTACACAGTCATCCCAACCAATGTGAGTTTCGAAGATTAGTCTCTGTCATCACTACTGGCCCACTAAGTGCTCCACACTGACTGTCACAATGGGAAAAACGGTACCCTAAGTTCAGTATCAGCCCAAACTACACCTCAGAGTTTTAAACCCATCATCATGATAAAGACATAAATACCCTTAAACCATGTTAATAGGTATTAGCCACTGCAGTCACAGTTATTACTTCTATAGCACTGCATGTGTAGGCAGCAGAGTGTATGTGATGTTTCCATTAGGCCAGAATAAGGCAGCAATTGGGCCTGTTATTAAGAAGGCCTCAGCTCTGACTAGGCCCAGGCTGAGAGCTGTGGGGTCCCACACTGTCACAAGGCAGCTCATCTCCACAGGGAAGCCCTGTTTGCTCAGCAGCAGAACAAACTAGCCGCCCATCAGAGGCCTGACATTAATAATTGATGAGTGTCAATGGCAGCACAGGGGAGAGGTGTGGAGACAAGACCAGCTAAGGCACCCAGAT